ATTGCCAAGAGCAGCATGGCCACCACCACGGCCCAGGATGCATAGGAGTTGTGTGGCTCTCCCATTCCCACATGTCCTGCTTAAATTGACAAGTTCTAACCTGACCTTCATGGCACACGAGGTGGACATTGTAAAGCTGCAGGATTGGGAATCCTCCCATTACTCTTTATTCACTCAGCAACCCAGCTGCTGGTTTGCACTTCAGGGAGTTTAAAGTTTGCTCTGGCTTCCAGGAGCCTGTCCCCCAGGTTCTGCTTATATCTAGCCTGACCTTTCTCTCCAAAAGATATCCAGTAAGGCTCTCCCCTGTTAGTAAGGGGACCTCATTGTTGGCGTCTTAGACTTAGCCTACAGTCAAAGAGAATATTTACACTTTGTGAAAATATTCACACTCTATTTTTCTTTCTTTGCAACTGAGAAAAATCCTGTGCCTATTTGCAACTAGTTCTCTAAGGAAAGCAAGTGGGAGTTGGGGCAGATGAAGTGCAACCTTTGATTGCAGGAAGAGTGGCCATACAGTGCCTGAGCTGCAGGACACACTTTTCCTCTATGTCCAGACTTCATTAGGAGTCACTGTGGATTGACACCAACTGGAGAATATTGCTGTTATTTACTCTGAAAACTTAACAATAAAACCCTTGAAAAGCAGAAATACCTGTCTATTAATGAATATTTCCACCTTTTAGCTACACTCCTGAAACCTCTCCAATTACCCATGCAAGACTTGAAGAAAATTACAGAGAGAGTCAGACCTTTTTGCCTTTTCAATGAGTCCCATGGCGTGTTTGGTGCTGAGCCCATGGACCTCAGTTACTGAGAGAAGACTGAATAAAACACTGAAGAATTCAAAGTCAAGCTCCAAAGTTCTGTAGAGCATTAATGGGTCCCACTGATATTTGTTAGCATCAAAGACTCCCCAGGGGCTGATTAGAGCAGAAAATTGTAATCATTGTTAACAGGTAGGCAGAGGAAATGTGCAGGTGGCTCTGATGCCACGTTAACCCTTGATGTGTTTTATCACGGAAAATAACCAAGCTCAGCCACTGAGCTTCTGGCAATGGAGATGCTTTCCCCTACATGTTTTCCAGGTCCTCCTGGGGACAGTGTGTGGGTGGGGGTGTGCAGTGCTCAGTGCAGGACAATGATATGGTACCTTTCAGGGTGTTGCCAAGGGGGCAATGAGGCCCCGATATCTTCTGGTAGGCCTTGGTGTCGGAGATAACAGCCGTAGGTAAGAAGATGCCCACCTCCTTGGGGTCTGCAGGCCTGGACACTGCCTTTGGCTGTCTCCACCCAAGGCTGTCCTATGTTGGTTCAACCCTGTGGCTGTGTCCATGTAGTCCATGTAGTCTCTAGACACCCAACTTCCCTACTTTGCTGTCACATGGGGCCTCCTTCCTTTCACTGATGTCTCTCCATCCTTACAGCTGTTCCTTGTAGCACAAAGCCATGGGATGATCATTGCCTCCTCCTGGGTGTACTGTTGCACGACATCACTAGCCTTCTAGTGACATTTCTTCATATTAATGTCCAGTCTGAAATTCTCGAGATGGGGATATTTCAGTCTGTATCATCTTTTCATACTACTTCCCACTCTCAAGGTGTCAGCCTCACAATGTTGGAAAGAATATAACCTGTCTATCAGGAGAGACTTGAACATGAGGAACTGAGTACAGGAGGAGAAGAGCCAGGGTGTTAGGAGGGACCACAGAATCCCAGAATGGTTGAGGTTGGAAGGGGCTTCTAGAGATCATCTAGTCCAACCGCCCTGCTCAAGGATGTGAGCCTGTGGTGCAGGCTTACGTGAAAATAGACATATACATATGGGGCTGCGTTAGCAGTAGGCTGGCTACCCAAATGAGGGGAGCTGTTACTCCCCTCCAAAGGGGACTTGGCCTGAATTCAGTGGTGGGACTCAATTCTAGGGGAGGAGGTGTGAGATGTCCTAGAGTGTTTGCCCACTAATCACTTCCAAAGGGACTGTTTTTTCCTCTGTGTTCACTGTTGAATATGCTAGAAACATGGTGCATACCTCAGGCATCTGACATGGCTGAGTAGGCCTGTTGTCACTGCATAAAATCAAGTGTCGGCAGTGAATTATGAAAGCTTCTTGAACTGCCTGGGTTAGCAGAATTCTGAGCTGCTAAGCAAGTGGAGTTGTAGAGGGTTGTAGACATTGAGACGTCAGATGGCCAAGACCACCTGGCTAATGCACTAGGTGGACATGGGTCTCCTAATTCCTCTATCAAAGCAAGCAGTTACATGCACATTTTGTGGCCCGCCTTGGAGAGATGGAGGATTTGTGCATATAACTGACTCCTTTCCCCCATGTCCGTTCACTAGAGTGACTTAGTCTCTCTCCATGGCTTACAGAGGGACCATCCGTGGTCATTTTAGATGTTCAGTGGACATTTGCCAGGGATTACCCTGCTGCCTTTCAGGAACTGCCAGCCCTGCAGCCCTGTGATGATCTCGAGGATGCACAGGGGATGGAAAATGTCCCATCTTCAGCTGGGTCCCTGCTCCTGAGCTGGGCCTGGCTCCTGGGACTGCAGGAGCCCATGGCAACCTGGCAGGTGCTGCAGAGAGACAGCTCTGCCCAGGAGCAGCTCCTCCTAAAGGAGTAGCAAGACTTAGGGCACTGCCCACAGGCACCAGGCTGAGAGGAGTCACTCATAAGTGAAAGGAGGAGTAGCAAGACTCAGGGCACTGCCCGCAGGCACCAGGCTGAGATGAGTCATTCATAAGTGAAAGGCAGTTGGGAGTGGGAGGACGGCTGAGAGCTCCTCTCGGGGAATCCTTCCCAGCCCTTGACATGGTAAGTGTCTGGCACAGGGCAACACTGCTGTAGTTTCCACAGCTGATGGGGACTGTCAAGGTGGCTCTCCCAGCTTCTCCTGTTTGGAGAAGGTAGTACTTTAGATCAAGGATTAGGTTCCACACCATCACAGGGACAGGGCATTACAGCTACCTCTCCCAGGGAAGGTGCAGGGGTGTGAAGCCAGCGAGTGCACCCAGGTGTGCATGGGCTGCAATACAGAGCAGTGTCCCTGCACCCTGGGGCACTGTGCGCCCCGGGCACTGACTCTGTCACCTGCAAGGATCAGTATCCAGCCTTCCTGGGCACCTCCAAACAGTGCTATTGGGAGAAGCTCTGGGTGGATGCAGTGAGTCCAAGCTGGGCCGGTTCTTTCTCCTTGGTAGGGTGCTGCATGATTCAGGGCTGCTCTCAGGACATTTTCTGAAGGGGAGGGTGAAGTTAGAGGATCATCATAGCTGAGAGGGAGCTTTTTTCCTGAGTCTGTACTTAAGCCTTCCTGCTTTTGACAGTGCCAGAAAGGAAACAGAGTTCGTGGGTTTGGACAAGAAATGGAGGCTCCTAAACTTAGACATGGAAGAGGGTCTGTGAGGGAACCCTCAAATCCCTTCGGCTTCCCCTTTGCCTAGGAGCAGCACCATCTCCTCTTTCTTTGACTCCTGTTACTTGCTCTTTTTTACCTACAAACCTGGACATGCCTCTGGGACAGTGCAAGGCAGCAGACATATGATGCAGGAAAGAGACGAAACTTGTTACAGAAAAAGGCTATGGGAGGATGGATTTGGGCAATGTCCTGGCTGTTCCCTGAGTGCCTTCCTCTCAGTTACCATCCCATGTCTCCTCTCCCATGCAGCAGAGCCTCTGCCCTCCAGGCCAGGGAATCCAGGACATGAGGCAGCTCCTCAACCTGCACTACTGGAGAGGGATGCTCGACACAGTTCCTGAGAACAAAATCTCTTCTGCAAGAGGCACAGCTGGGTAAGATGAAGGCTTTCCTGAGTGCCCATCTGGAGGTATTTGCACAAGAGCAAGGTATCCAAGACCAATACCAGAGTGTGGGGCTTTAGGCAATGCAGTCTGTAGGACTGAGGAATGCTCCAGGTCTCCCTAAGGACACATCCTCCTCAGAATAGTGCCCTGAGCAGTGGGTTGGATCACCCGTGGCTTTATGTGCCTATGTTCCTCCCTTGCATGGAGAGATAGGAGGGGATGATTGATGCAGATATAGAGGAGAAGCTTTAAAAACAGCAGGGAATTATGCAAGTGCCGAGTGGTCATGTAGATAAACAGACAACTGAGTCAGAAGAACTGACAAATAAAGTGTTTTTTTTGAGTCTACTCCAGTCCATCTGACAACAGTGTTGCGAGAATCCTTTGCTATCAGACCATAACTGTTTGGGGAATATGACTCTGAGCATCTGTATAATAAGCATGTCTGACTCTTCTGGCATCTATAGACAAAGGACCCTGCTACTTGCTACCCGCAGCATGCTCAGAAAGGAAAAATTAGAGCTGAAGCAAAGTCCTCCAGGTAAGGAGAGAAAAAATGTGGGGATTTGCTATGAGGAAAGATGTGTTTTGTTCAAAAAACCCTTGCCTTTTCAATGCATTTTTCTCCATGGTCTCTCCAGCATGCCCAAAGAAACCACATGTCCAAGAGCAGCAATCTCACTGAGTTGCTTTTCCTGGAGGTCACCAGCGGGAGCTGGTATGACTGATTCCAATACAGATACCTCTGTTCAAGACGACAAGGCTGGGGGGCAGATGAATGCCTCCCAAGGATCTTCTCCTTATTCTTTCAGTAATAAGTGGAGAATGTTCCCACTGGGTCACTGGACCAAATCCCCTTCACTCAGTTGACAGTGCCTATCTCCCACTGAATACATTCAGCAATTTGATACCTCCATTTAGACCCCCCAGTAAACCAACACTGTCTCCCCTTGAGCCCAAGAGCAGAGGCTGACCACAGTCACCCAGCACCAAGCAGAGGTCAGGAAAGGGAGCTGAACACAGCAAAGGAGAGAGGCAATGTGACGAGTACTGTGAGGAGTGAAATGAGTTTTGCTCAGAGAAGTGTGTTCTAACTTCTTGGTATTTTTTACTCTTTGGACAATGCCCTGAACCAAGAGCAAATGTCCAACAGCAGCTCCTTCAATGAGTTCCTGCCACGCGGGACCTGCAGCTCTTGCACTTCTCGCTCTTCCTGGGCATCTATCTGTCTGCCCTCCTGGCCAACGGCCTCATCGTCACAGCAGTAGCCTGTGACCACCGCCTCCACACCCCCATGTACTTCTTCCTCCTTAACCTCTCCCTCCTTGACGTTGGCTCCATCTCCACGACTGTCCCTAAATCCATGACCAATTCTCTTTGGGACAGCAGGGCCATTTCCTACTTGGGATGTGCCGCCCAGATATTTTTGTTTGTCTTTTTTGCTTCAGCTGAGTATTTTCTCCTCACAGTCATGGCCTATGACCGCTATGTTGCCATCTGCAAGCCCCTCTATTATGGGACCCTCCTGGACAACAGAGTTTGTGTTAAAATGGCAGCAGCTGCCTGGAGCAGTGGATTTCTCACTGCTCTCCTGTACGTTGCGAATGCACTTTCCCTATCATTCTGCCAAGGCAATGAGGTGGAACAGTTCTTCTGTGAGATCCCCCAGATCCTCAAGCTCTCCTGTTCAGACTCCTGCCTCATGGAAGTTGGAGTTATTGCAGTTAGCACAAGTTTAGCTTTTGGATGTTTCATTTTCATTGTGGTGTCCTACGTGCAGATCTTCAGAGCTGTGCTGAGGATCCCTTCTGAACACGGGCAGCACAAAGCCTTTTCCATGTGCCTCCCGCACCTGGCTGTGGTCTCTCTGTTTCTTGGCACACTCATGTTTGCTTACCTGAAGTCCCCTTCCGTGTCCTCCCCAGCTCTGGATCTGGTGGTGGCCGTTTTGTACTCGGTGGTTCCTCCAACAGTGAACCCCCTCATCTACAGCATGAGGAACAAGGAGCTCAGTACCGCCCTGAAACGGTTGATTCAATTGGTAACAGCTCGGCTACGTGTCCCTCTTCACAAGTGATTTATAATTCAGACGATTTCTATACTTGGGGAATTCTCACTTGAATGATGCTGTTTGTGCAGAAGTGTTTCAACTCATCCCACTTCTCCAGAGGTGTTCACCTTATCTATCACACAGGCCTTCCGTGAATCTGTCTGTCAATGTGTCAGAGCTCTCCTTCTGCTAATAAAAGTGGATTTCTTCAATTGAGTGCTTGTGGTTTGGTCTGCTCTTCCTAAGTTGGAGCAAGCAATTTCCTTAAGAACTTTCACCCTGAAGGGCTTGTTGTTTCTCAGGGGGTCTTCATGGGCTCAGGGCAATGAGCTCCTGGGGTGATTTTTTGAGGATTTTGGCCTGGATTCAGCTGTTACTTGAGGATACTCAATGCTCCTGATAGCGGTGAATGGTCAAGCAGTATCTGTGTGGGACTGTCTCCCACATAATGGGGCTGGTGGCACATGCCCACTGTGTGAACCTTGTGGGCATAGGGAATGGAGCTGCAAGAGCAGTTCAGGACATTTTATATGTCCAACTCTGATCTGGATCTCGGGACACACCTGAACACAGTGTGAGCCATTTGAAATGCCCTGTGATCGCTCTGAGAGTCATTCACAGCCACAGACCCCTTGGCATAGGGTTGTTAAGTGCAGTGATACCCATCCAGCTGGGTCTGCTTCCTGCCTCAATACCCACGGCCAGTGCAAAATCACTCCACAGCCCTGGAGCACCTCAGCCCACTCGCTCTGCAGAGCAGCCCCACCAGCTGGAGGTTCTGTGGGGACACAGGAGAGAGCCCAGGAACAGCCGGGCAGGCCATCGCCCAGGCACTCACCTGGGGAAAGGCTCTGCAGGGAGCAGGGACATCCCTTGGGAAGAGCAAAGCAGCAGTTGTGGGCTGGGAAGGAGGAAGAAATGAGAAAAAGGAACGTGTGTGTCAACTGAGGGCAGGCTGCCGTGTCCCTGGGGCAGCAGGAGCTGCCAGAGGAGCCCCAGGGCAGGGCCCCTTGTGCAGTGCTGGAGAGAGGGTCTGACCTGGGGGGCAGCAGGGAGTCTGGGGTAGGAAATCTCCGAGATACAGAAACAAGGGACACAGAGAGTCACTCTGCTCAAGTGTCCTTGTGCCACTGGGGCCAGTCCCAGCTTGGAGCCTGATGGGGCAGTGGCCGCACACCCAGCCCTGCCCCCTGGAGCTGCTGTGCCCACAGTGGGGTTTGGGCTGTGCGGTGAGTGCCTCCAGCTCTGCAGCCCCCTGTGGTGGGCACTGCTGTGGGGCCACCCCCAGCCTGGGCTGCTCTGCTGGTTGCTCTGGAGAGAGGGCAGCGGAGGTGGGAGAGTTGGGGAGGGTCAGGCTGGGCTAGAGAGGGCCCAAGAGAGGAAAACGACGTTTGCTGAGCTGTGTGTCCTGGGTTGCACGGATTGACTGTGAAGGGCATTTGTCACAAACTGGTCTCTCACTTTGACCATTTCTAGCACTCATCCAACACTGGACATTTGCAGGACTCAGCAGGGGCAGGTTGCTGAGGGTGGCTGCCCAAGCAGGAGGGCTGTAGTAGGCTGAGACACCAAGGGTTGTTGCTGAGTCCATTCTGGGGAGACCTTTCCTCATCCTGGAGTGCACCCTGCTCCATGCAGTGCCTGCAAAATCAGGACCATGGTGTGCAGGGCACCAGGGATGGGAGCCACAGGGCTCCTCACTGCTCCACTGCAAAAGGGCAGCTCTCCCAGTGCTGCCCCACAAGCTCTTGCCCCTGCTGCAGACACACCAGGGTAAAGGGTAAAGACCAGAAGGTCCCTCAGGCAAAGCTGTGCCAGCCTCGGGGAGCTGCCCTGAGCACCAGGACAGGCAGAGCGTTCTCCTTGTAGAGCCCTGTCCTGCTGGGAGGGTGGCACGGGCACCAGGGGAATGGCCTG